GCCCCCGCCTCACCACACCTCCCGGCCGCGCTCTTCCATTGTTTGTTATCGTGCGGCCCTCAGTCCTGGACGCCAACCTGGGGACCGTGGTGGGCCTGGTGACCCAGATCACGGGCACAGACATCCCCGCCCTGGCCGCCGCCATCACGGGCGTGCAGGGCCAGTGGGTGGCGGTGCAGCCCGCGCTGGTGGGCCTGGCGGCGCAGCTGGTGCACATCAACACGACAGTCATGGAGCTCACGGCACCCATGCAGGCAAGAGGGTCGATCGTTATCGTCCCATGGTTGACGGACGGCAGGGAGGCCGCGCCAGGGCTAGGCAGGGCACTGTGGGGAGAGCAGGCACCTGGCCTGCATCAGTCCTGAGTGCCATATCTGCAGCTGCCGGCGCATGCCTCCACAGTGCTGCACAAACATCAGGCCTCAAACCCCCACTGCCACCCAATCCCACCTCGCCGCCTACGCGCAGGCCGCCTACGCCAGCGTCACCGCCGCCACGTCAGCGCTGACGTCATTCTTCGCCTCCTCCCCCACGCCCGCCGCCCTGGCCGCCACCCTCTCCACCACCACCGCCTCGGGCCTCGCGCTGCCCCCCACAACAACCACGATCCGCAGCGGCCTCACCGCCCAAGGCGCCGCCCTCAACGCAGCCCAATTCGACGCGACGCCGGGCGGCAGCGACGGCGCCCTGCTCAAGGCCTGGGTCACCGCCGCCAAGGCCGACATAACCGCGGCGGCAGCCAACTTCAACCCAATGGCCACCGCGCGCGCCACGTTCTTCGCGACCCCCACGGGCGCCAACTACGACGCCCTCAAGGCCGCGGTGGATACGTATGCCGGCGCGGCCGCGACGACAACACTGGAGTCGAAGCTCGGGGAGCAGGGCTCTGCCCCCTCCCAGGCGTCCAGGTATGCGGCCGCGGCGCCCCCGATCTCGGCGGCCGCGGCGGCGGCGTACGCGGCGCTCCCGGCGTTTGTGACGGCGGCGGGGGGCGCGGTCTCGGGCATGCCCGCGCTGGGCGGCTACGCGTCGGGCATCGGCGCCGTTGCGCTGCCCGCGCTCACGGTGAGCGGCAGGCTAACAGCAAACCCTTCCTTGAGGGGGGTGCCGACGGGGGGCGAGGATTCCAGGTGTCCGCGTGGCTGCCTCGCTCGGCACTCACACGGCGCGCAACGCCGCGATCGCGCTGCGGGCGGCTTGTTTGTGCAGAGCCGCAAAACAGCGATAGCGCAGGGTCACGGGTTGCCGGCCCACTCTGGCAGGGGCCGCTGCACTGCGGGGTCACAAGTGCGCCGTCTTCTGCCACCGACCCCACCCCTCTTTCCACCCACCCACCGACCACACCACCGCACCCACTTCCCCAACCCCCTGGTGCGGACCCGCAGCTGTTTGACGGCCCCCAGGCGGCCCTCGATGGCATCCAGTCCGCCGTGGTGACGAGTGGTGACACGGTCAAGGGGCAGGTCAACGCCACCCTGGCCACCTTCTCGGGGGCCACCAGCCAGCTGCAGACCATGGTGCTGGGCAGGCTGGACACGGTGCAGGTGACTGACTCGGCGGACGCCACCACGCAATACTGACGCACCGCAACCCACGGCGTGGTGGCTGCATGTTGCGGGGGCGCGGCTGCCAGGCGAAGAGTTCGCCCCTGCGCCCAAAGCTCCACCCGGCTGGTCGGCATTGTGAGGGCGTCACCGGCCAGCAGCACCGCCCTGTGACGCACGCCTGTGACGCACGCCACCACTCATACAATGCTGCCAGACACCGCTAACACAGCGCCACCAAACGCGCGCGCGTGCCTGTGTCTTTGCAGGCGGACTACAAGCCCGTGGCCCTGAAGGCGGACACTATCCGCTACCAGGCCAGCATGGTGCTGTACGCGCTGCCCATCCTGGTGCTGCTGGTGCTGCTGCTCTGCGCGCTGCTGGTCAACTTCCACTTTGGCACCAACCTCGCGGTGCTGCTGCTGCTCGTGCTGCTCGTGCTGGTGCGTGCGGCCCCGGCCCCCGCCGACCTGGTGTTTGAGTGTGGTGCCGGCAAGAATGTCGGGCTCGGTCGAGCGGGCGTCCGCGTCCGCCAATCTAACAGCACTGCAAGCTGGTGTCGTGTGCTCGTGGGGGCTTTGAGCTTCGGGCAGGCTGCCAGGGGCGGCCGCACCCCACCCATATCATGTCCCGCCCGCGCCGCGCGCACCGAGTGCCCCGCGCCCCCGCGCCTCTTCGCCGCCCCCGCCCAGGGCTTCGTGCTGGCGGCTGTGCTGGCTCTGGTGCTGGCCGTGCTGGGTGATGTGTGCCCCGCGGTGGAGCCGATGCTGCTGTCCAAGGTGCCCGCCAACATGGAGCCCCTGGCACTGTGAGTGGCCGCACCTGAACACCCCTGCCGTTGCAGCCGGGGCCGGGGCCGGGGCCGGGGCCGGGGCCGGGACCGGGTGGTGGGGCGCAGCTGCTCGACCGGCGTGCGTGGGGTCTGCGGCCGTGCGTGCTCGGCAGGGCTGCTGCTGCTGGCGGCGACGCGCTTGTAGGTACACGCGCGATCTAGTGCCGTCCACCATGCTCACCTCCAACGCTCGCCATGCACGCTCCTCACACCCACGCACCCACCCACCC